GCTAACAAACAGCAGAACCCCACAATGTCATTTATTATACTTCATTTAACTTATGTATGTTTGTTAGGTGGTAAAGGTTTTGAAAAAAGGAAAGAAAGAATACAAAAGGAATACAAAAAATAAAAATAAATTACTTAAATACGAGTAAAGCAGAGCTAAGTGTGTGAAATTTCAAAATAAAAAAAATTTTTTGGGAGAGTTTGTTGTTGCATTTGTCTAGTAGCATTTTTTGCCATTTTATTTAATTGAATTTGCTTAGCAGCCGTACGACGTTATATGAATGTCCAAAATGCCATAAATGTACATTCCGATTGAGTTATACATACTTGTGAATATTTATACATATGTATATGTGCATGTATGTATATACATAATTGTTTATTATTTACATTCTATTCAAAATACAACAAAAAAAATATTGTAGAAAATCTTGTTTTGCACAAAACGAAAATGAACTGGCATTCTTTTGAGTGGATGAATTTTTATACAATATATATTATATGTTTATAGTACATATTTCGAAAATATATTTTATTTCTTTTATTTTAAGTTTATTTAATACCCGATTGCTCATTTTTAAGTTTTTTTTTTGTTTCCCAGAAGTTTAAGTTTTTTTTCTAGAGAAGGTTGCTTTCCAAAATACTTTGGTGCATATAAAAATGCAGTTTTATTAATGTCATAATTTGAATATATTTTTATTTTCTAAACTTTTTTTAGCTCTACAAAATTTGGCCAAAAGTGTGCATTAAATTTTTAATGGCAAGGAAATTTGTTTTTATAAACCAGAAAATTATTTTAAGATTTTTTATTTTGTTTAGTGCGAGGTACTCGTGTAATTAATTCTAATATTAGTATTAAATTTTCGTTTTATAATATTTTAGTTTTCTTAATTTTGGCACTGATGGAACGCAAAAGAAAAATTTATGGAAATTCTCTAAGATGAATAAAAGATTTCAAAAAAAAAAAAAGGAATGAAATGATATCATTTCGTTTGGTTAAATTAGTATAATTTACTTAACGAAATTATCTTTTCTTCGTTGGATTTGTTACAAAATGAAATGAAATCAATAGCATTGAAATGGCACAGAATTAATGTTAATGGTACAATTATATAATATTTAAGGTTTCACATTTTAACACCATAATTTAACACAAACGAATGCATTTCGTTTCGATTAAAACCCATTAAATTATTCGAGAAACCAGTTTTAAATCATAATACTGCGACTCAGCTATCACAACCTATCGTATGAGCTGTTACTGACGATTTGATTTTTTCCATAAAATAGACTCAGCTGCTTGCTCGCTGTTAAACAAGTTGGTCTATGTGACTACATATCCCTCTATCAGTCGGGTGGTACGCCTGGGAGATATGTATAATGGCTAGTTGCCCTATAGGCAATGTATCAAACAACAAAAATAATGGCTTTTGAAGCCGTGCCGAAAAAGTACCGGGTGATAGAAAACTTTAAAAATAGGAAAATTCGAAAGTTTTATGAAACGAAAAATTGATGCCAAGAGATATTAAATGAAAATACAAGCAATTAAAAAACAGAATTTTCACACAATAAAAATTTAATATTTCAAAGTCTACTAAAATAATAATAAAAAAAAATTAAAAAGTACGATGCGGAAATATATTTCAAGTCATAAGACTAAAAATATTTGTGGGATAGATTTTTTGACATTCCATTCTCGTTAATTAAATATGAGTGAGAAAAAAGCTAGACGAAAGTCATAAAAAAATTTACAACAAATGCAATGATAACTAGAAAAACAGAAATGCTTATGCGACGAAAAACAAAGTGATTAAAAATAAAAACAACATGAAGTAATTAAACAGAAACCTGTATGAGAAACAAAAGAGAAAAATGTATTCAAGATGAAATAAAGCAGAAAAAACTAAATAAATGAATAAAGACTACGACGAAAGGAAAGAAGCTAGTTGTTCAACTTAAAACCAAAAAGATGAGCAACAAAATATTTGAAATGTAAATAAGTAGATATAAATTATATGAACATACATACGTAAATACGAAATGTGCAAAGTATAAATTAAAAATTTTGAAAAACATACGAAAATAAAAGTATTTATTTATTTAAAGTTTATATATAAAGTGATGAACTAAAGTATTGCCACAGCAAGATAGTTCAACTTTAACCCCTTTTTTTACCCCTTATGAAAATATTTTTAATTCTGAAAAAAATGATAGACAAAGGGATTATCCTTTATGTTAAATTAATACTAATCATAAATGAAAAAAAGTAGTAATTTTCACCAAACAAAGTATTGGCACATTTAAATTTACTGTCCTATTTCGATTAAATTTGATTGATCTACCAACTTTTTTTCAAAAGTCCCGTTATGACTATATAAGCAATTGCATTTGTTTTCAAAACTCAAACCGCGTACCTAGTACCGCGTACCGAGTACCTAAGCAAACCAATTGACTTTTGGGACCATGTACTCTTCTGGGATGAAAGTAAATAAAATATCTTTCAACCATCAAGCCACCATGGCCATCAAACTGTGTGGAGAAAACCTAACACTGAACTTTAAGAAGAGAACCTTTCTAAGATTATAAAATATGGTGTGGAGGAGTCATTGTATGGGGCTGCATGTCCGCTGCAGGTGTGGGCGCGCTGGAATTCATTGACGGCATTATGAACTATATGGAAATACTTGAGAGGAATGAAAAAATGTGCCCATAAACTGAAATTGCCAGAGTCATTTACATTTCAGCACGACAATGATTCGAAGCATACCGCTCATGATGTGCATATGTGGCTTGCACAACCACATTAAACATACACTACTGCATCCGCCACAATCGCGTGATCTAAACCCAATTGAACATTTGTGGGAAGAGCTGCATAGGCGCGTTAAAAAGCGCGCTGTATCAACAAAAGAAGAGTTGGTTCTGTTGGAGGAATGGCAGAATATTGGGACAGAAACCACAGAAAAATTGGTCCCATCGATGCAAAAGCATTTGGTAGCTGTCATCAAACAGAAATATTAATTTCCTTAATATTTTACCATTTTATTATAAATTTTTTGAATTTTTATAAAGTGTGCCAATATTTTTGTTTGGTGAAAATTAGTACTTTTTTCAATTCTAATTAGTATTAATTTAACATAAAAGATAATAAAATGAATTGAAGTGAAAATTATTGAAGATGTGTCCCTCTACCTAGCATTTTTTTCAGATTTAATAATATTTTCATAAATGGTCGGTTACAGTTGAACTATCTTACTGTGCCAATACTTTAGGACATCACCGTATATACATTTATATATAATATACCTTGAAGTTTTTTTTTTATTTTCTACTTTATTTTATGCATTACGTATACTTTTTTGTCTATTTTTAATTTGAATAATTGAAAAAAATATATATTAAATGTCTTTTACCACAATGACTTACCGATCAAAACGCAGCCTAAGCTACTGATCGTAGAAACCTGAAACTTGGATTCATAATTCGATTGCTTGACATATGGAACATTAAAGCCCTTAGCCTAGATTAATATGTGGAAAACATTTCTTTCTTTTTCATTTATTTATAAGTTTTAATAAAATAAACAACGTCAAAACTTAATAAAAATCTTATTAGAATCACCTTAGAACTCCTTGAGGACGAAATCGCGGGTAATATTTTCTCAGCTCATATCATTGCGAGTTAGTACCTATGCACACACGCAACAATAATAACGAAAATTCGAACGAGCCAAATGAGTAAGCAACGAGGATAAGTTTTAGTTAAATGAAAAATTTATGAGTTTTTCTTTTATAATTTTTTCATTAACAACAAATATTTATTTATACAAACATTTTATTATATTTTTATTTTATTATTATGTTTTTAATCATTTTTTTGTCAAACAAAGCTCAACACTAAAGAATATAATTATTTATTTACTCAAATCGTAATAGCACTAAATGGAGATGAGCTCATGCCAATTATCTATTCTGAAAGCAAGTTTTGTCACAATAAAAATAGAAGTGTCTATAGAATAACAACAACGAAAGTATAAATTATTTATTTTCTGATTAATGCAAAACCAATGAGCCAGACATGTCAAGCAATAAAGTAAAGTATTTTGCGTTATTCATGAATAGAAAACTTGTAAAAATGTGATGTGAAAAAAATTCGGAACTACAAAAACAACAACAACACATAAAATATGAAAAGGAATAAAACGAGAAATGACCCACCAAAGAAGAACTAAAATATCAGTCGCTACTTTTTACACTGTTGAGATAAAAGTGTAAAAATAAATCCCTCTGTCTTTGGAAAGGGGCAAACCAAAAACAAAGTCAATAATAGCTATTTTTACATTTTCTTTCAATTTTTGTTAGCGCTTAAAGAACAAACTAAGAATGCGCAACATGCGACAAAGACGAGGGCAAAGTTATGCAAATTATTGACCGAAATATGCGCAAATAAAAAGCATGGGCGAGTTAAAATGGAAATAAGTCACAAGAAAAGCAAAGAACCAATAGTTAAAAAATAAAAATAAACAGAAATACAGTAAAAAAGAAAAAAGTCCATGCCTATATTAAGACGACACCCAAAAAGAGATACCAACGGCAAATGCAGCAAAGAGCAAATGAAAATAAATCAAAGAGCAATAAAAGCAAATTAAAGAGTATATTTACACAAAATAAATATAAACATAGCGAACTAGAAAAAAATCCAACTTAATAGAAAATTAAACACAGCGCATGAAGAAAGTCGAATAGAAAAGATTACAAATACTATTTAGTGGTTAACTGTGGAAAATGGAAGACACATGCAAACAATATATAATTCCATATATTTTCTATGTGTATATACATATGTACATAGGCGTATTTCAAGGCAACAATCATTTGCGCAGAAAACAGATGCCGAAATATGTGAAAAGTATTTTCTGTATTCAAAACATTTCCAAGGTTTGTCCGTTCGATTGGAAAATACCAGGCTATTTCAGTTAGCAGGTAGCAGGTCAGTCAAAGAGCTTGAGAAAAGTGAGAGTTTCGTAAAAACATCGCAAGAGAAATTTGATTATCCAAAGTGAGCGCAACAAAGGCTGAAGTGCTCTTCGGCGTTGCTGTTGAGTAATGAAGGAAGAGAAAAGTGTGTGAATACGAAAAAGAAACAATTATTTGAATGATGGCTAAGAGAATTCACATTAAAAATATGGAAATTTTTTAAGTAGTGTTCAAAAATTCTGGCAAGATCACTTAGAGTGAGTTTTTTTCAAAAGATCTCTCTTACGAAAATTTGTAAACGAAAAATATTATTACTCCTGGAAGTATTTGTAATTATTACTGGTGTGTGTAGGTATGTGTAAAATTCAGTACCTAGAAATGATTGCCAGTTTTATTTACATCTACAAGATTTTTACGATTCGCCGAGAGTACATATATCTGTAAATTTCTTTTCTTTATAGAAAATTAAGGCGTGCAAGAAATTGTGAATAAGAATTTAATAAATTTAATTTAAATTTTTTTTTTAAATTTTTATGTATTTTTTAAACTACTTCTTACTTGAGATATTTGTTAAATTGGCTTTAAATTATTTAAAATTTTCATAGTAAACATTATATTTATTTTTTTCTTCAAAAGAGACATCTACCGGAATAGCAGGATATTCAAAATAACAACTCCTATTGGAAAACCATTTGCTTTATTTATTATTTAGCGTTATTATTTCTGCTGCTTTTTTGACTATTAAAGTATAATTTTTTTAGTAATTTTGGATTTTCTGCAGATGCCAATACCACACCTATGACCTTGTGCACCGTTACTTATCATGTTCATTTTTGAAGAGTCCCATATTCTTTGAAAAATGTTTTGGAAACAAGCTGGCCACAATTGTTCAACTACTTCAGAACCCTTTGGAAAATATATGTGAAAGCAATTCTAAAATTTTTCTCGAATAGCTCAAAGTGAGTAATGCTTTCAGAACTATCCATTTGTATAAGTTAAATAAATTTGTTAAATTAAAATACATAAATGCGCTCATGGAGGCAAGGTAATAACATTTTTGTCTAAGCTCAATTTTTTTAATTTTATTTTTCAAAATTAGTTTTATTTCTTAATAGCATTTTGTAGGAGCCATATTCTGCTAAAATATTTAAGAATTAATTTACTATTGTTAATTCAAAGAAGATTTTCATGACTAAATTTCGAATTTATTTTCATTCAAGACCTGTAGAAGACAGATGAAAAATACACATGTATGTGTGTACATAATCTCAGCTTGCTTCAAAAGCATCAGCTGAATATAACGGTATGACAAAACGCTATTACACGAGAAGAATAAATACACTAAACACATATGTATGAATGTAATTTATTGTAATTACCTTAGCACAAATACTATATGTATGTTTGTACAGATTTTACGCGCATTTAAATCTGCAAATATTTACTGTAATAAGACAATGCGACGCACTGTGGGCTTTTCTTGTTGCGCTGACTAAATTAATATTTGCCTGATGGGCAGACAAAAGATAAGGAAGACAAAGCCAGATACACAATACGAGTATATATAAATTTGGGGTAAGTTTCTTACTGACAAAATGAACGAAGATGTAGGATGCTTAGAGAAAAACTAAACAAAATCAAAAGGTTCACTACCCTTTTGGCACGTTTTTACGCTCGAATAACAAACAACACAAAATATTAGATTAAATTCTTAGGGAAATGTGTGTAAATGTATGTACACATTGTTATTTTTGTATTAATTTGTTTGTTTATTTTTTCTTTTTCGAGGGCGGCAAAAGTAAAAATTAATGCTTTTTAAACAAAATTCCACCGCCACAGCTGGTACACGGCATGATTTCAAATAAAAGATAGGCTTGAAAAGTAGGCAAATAATTTTCATTTTTAACTTATAAAGCATTAGCCAGCTGGTAAACACATTAATGGCAAATAAACAGACAAGTACAATAATGAAATGCATACAAATATGCAAAAAAATAAAAAAAAAAACAAACAAAATGCAACAATATTGCAACACAGCAAATGTGGTAATAAAAGCTTGAGGCATGATTAAAAGTGCGCCTAAAGCGCCCCCAAATAGGCAACATATTTACAGTGTAAACAAATATGTAGTTATATGCACTTATATGAGCTCTTATACCTTGGCGGCTTTTGACTGTGTTTGGTCAAGTTATTGGTATTGTTGTTGTTTTTGTTATTGTTGCCGTTTCTGTGGTATGTTTAGCGCGTGTGAAATATTCGTTTCTTGTTATTGTTATTGCTTTTTACCTCATTATTAATATGTATTAGCAGATTTTGCTGTTCAGCATATGTAACGAGTTTTTTTATTTTTATTGGTGTTATTCTTGTTGTTAATATTATATATGTTGTGTGCATCTAATGGTGAATTTTAGTTTGATTATTTTTCTCTTTGTTTTTTACACTTGTTTGCCGTTTCTTTTTACACCAAAAAATGCGCTTTGTAAATAAATTGTTTTCGTTTAAGCAAAATATGCAACGCACTTTCTCGTTTAATGGTATTGAAAAGCGCTTCAAAATAAAAGAAAGAGTCTATGGTTTAGTTCAATGACTTTTCGTCAATAAAATTGTAAATTTTTCACATTTTTTCTTTTCTTTTTAATTTTTTTTGTCTGCATAACTTGTCTGCGGTTAGCCGACATGGTGTTGTTAAATGCCTCACCTTCTCTCCACTTTATAATTGTATTTTTAAACTACATATGTATATTGGGAAGCGCTGCGTGCGTAAGCTAATAAATTGCTTTTAAAATATTTAAAAATAAAAATGAATTTTGTGGTATAACTTTAATGAAATAATTCTACGAAATGTAATTACAGCTTTTTAAAACAAAGCTTACACATCTAAGCAGAAGCTAACTTGTTTTTAGGCAATTTTAAACTTTTTAACTAACTGTAATATTTCGAGCACCAAAACGATCTAATAGCCAGAAAATGAAAGTGAACAAATTTGCCGAAAATGTAAGCCTTCAAAAAATGTGTATTAATTAGTTGAAGCTCGTCTGGCTATGTGATCGTCAAAATTTTCCGCTCCTTTTTGCTAATTACCACTCAGTGTTATGCCGACAGAAATGGCGAAGCGTTAAAAACATGTGAAAACTTTTAATGTTTAGTATGAGAGGAAAACAATTAATTCTAAAGTGGTAAAGTGTTAGAAATAAATAATAATTTTATTGCCCTTTTCTCTCTAGTTTAACATTTTTATTTCTCGCAATTATTTTACGATTTTTTTCAAGCTCCAGCACTTTCACTAGCCGTTTCCGCAAATTTTTAGTTTCTTTATGTATGTTATGTTATTTTTTATTAGTTTGTGAAAATGTCATAAAAGCGTTTTCATTCAATTAAAATGAAAAAATAGCTTTTCTGTGTCATCTTCTATTTTATGCCTGTTTAAAAGAGTAAACATGGGTCGAAAATTACGTCGTGCTTTGGCATAAGTCTTGCCTTGTTTACCACGTCAATAAACATCAACTGTACATGGCACCCAAAAACTGCCAATTAAACAGTTTACACACATTTTATAAATGCGTTTTTATGTTTTTTCTTTTGGCTACTTAACAACTAACTCATAAAGTAATATATTTCATTCACTGAAGAGCACATTAGGGTGACCAGACAACTTTCACATGTTACATATGGAATAGTCAGCAGGAATTGTACTGAGGCTGAATTTCGGAGCTTACTTCGATTATTTGATTTTTTTTTTTTTTAATATTTAATTTCAATTTATTTTATTTTGCTTTATTTTATTTTATTTTTTACTATAATTTATTTTGCATTATTTTATTTTAATTCTTATTTTTTTATATAATTTTTTTTTATTTTATTTTGCTCTATTTGTTTTATTTCATGTTTATTTTATTTTATATTTTTACTATACTTTATTTTACCATATTGTATTTAATTTTTAATTTTTTTTAATTAATTTTTATTTTATTTGAATTTATTTTATTTATAATATAATTTGTTTTTTTTAATTTTATTTTAGTTTTTAATTGATTTTTTAATTTTACTTTATTTTATTTAATTTAAATTATATTAATTCATTTAATTTTAAACAATAATATGTTCTTTAATTTTACTTTAATAAATCTAATTCGATTTAATTTTATTTTAATTCATTTTACACTACTTTGCTTTATTTTAATTTTTTTATCTTGTTTGGTTCATTTTATTTTATTTTAAATTATATTATTTTGTTTAATTTTATTTCAATTAAATTTAATTTAACTTAATTTTTTTAATTTAATTTTACTTTAATATGTTTTTGAGTTTTTTTAATTTATATTATTTTTTTTTATTTTATATTATTTTTATTTTATTTTCTTATTTTATTTTATTTCATTTTCAAATTTCTTTCTCCTGCCCTATCTTTGTCGCAAATTAATGCTGTTTCACTAATAAGGAAGTTGGTGGCTATCAAACACCTAACTTTAGCTACACAATTCACTTGCTTACATATTTGAGTGTCACTCGCATTCATGAGCTGTTAAAAGCCTTATTTGACGCGCATGCTTTGGCTCCGCTGAAGTGAATGTAAAAATCATTATTTGTCTGTTGGTGCGACTGTTTTGGAAGCAGGTGTATTTTTACAACCTCCCTAAACAATATAACAGTGCAATCGATGGTTTGGTGATGATTTTTACACACTTCTTTGTTTTTGGAACTTTTATTGGTTGGTAAAGAAAGTTTATATATGTATATATTTGGTTGAAATGAGAGAAGAGATCTTAAGATATGTAATTTATAACTTTCATGATGTAGGTTTATAAGATTCGAATTCGCAAGAGCATCAGCGCTTAGCTATGTCAACAGAGAAATTCCATAAGGTAGATTTCTTTTGCCTTATCTATGGGTCCTCACAGTAAGTTAATTGCCGTGGCACATGGAAGAGGAGGGGATGCAGGGTCATAGCATATCCGGGTCATATTGCAGGGCATTATAAGCCAAATGAAAACGTGGGCAAATTAAGCTGGCCTTGGCATTAATCCACAAAAGACGGAGCTTGTTATTGGCACTCTTTCAACAATGGCACTTATTTTGTTCAAGGAATTAAACTGATCACAGCACTTAGAGGAACGGATGCAAAAACAAAATGAGAAATTGTACATAATTGCCGCAAATTACTAATCATGAGAGGCACCAGGACACAGTTACATTACCAGGAGTAGTGTGAAGTCTCTAGAAACAGCAACCTTTTAGAGACTTGAGTGAAAAAGCGGGTGCAGACAAGGCATTAAACGGATCTTTAATGGTATCATAATAGGTGGACTATGCTGCCCACCAGCCACTTCAAACTAATGTTTAAATGATATATTAACTTTAGTCTGAATTAGGTAGGTACCTTAATGAGAAGAGGGAGACCTACAAAAATGTATACCGATCGGATCAGAAAGACGAGTTGAGTTGATTTTGTCATTTCCTATCTTCAAAACTGATGACGTCAATAGCGACCATGATAACATACTATGCTTGAAATTGAAGCTCGTGATCTCGGCAACATTTGAATTCAACAAGACGACCACTTCCCATAAATGGTTGGATTTATTGAGAGAACACTTCGTTGAGCGGATAATTTCACATTTTGGACGAAGGGGGATTCATTCAGGCATTGAGGCGCGTGTTATTCGACAGATACCAGTCTAAATGCTCGAACAAATCATCAAAATTTGGACTCAACGAATGGACCCTTTGAGGGGTAGCCGCGGCCAATATTTGATAGAGATAATCTTCCGAAAAAGTAAATGCTCAACAATGTTCCTTCGAATTATAATAAAAATTCTCCATCAAATTGGATTTTTCTGTGCTTTTTTCCTTAAAAAAGAGGGAACCTCGAAATGGACCTTCCTATAACGCTATACACGTATGTACAAGTTCTCTCGGAAATTTGAGGTGATCAATTTTTTTTAAGCCGCACCATATATTAAAATCACATATAAGACGGCACCGTTCATTTTAGGATAGTGAACTTTTCGTTGTATATTTATTATTAAATAGAAAACAAGAATTCTCAAAATAAACAGATCCTTTCTGCCGAAAAAAGCTCAAAATTAAAACGCTGGTATATAGTTGGCACCGAACACTTTTTTTGGTGTCCAGAGAATGATGTATATTTTTAATTTTTTTCTTTCCGCACAAAAAATTCAAAAATAAATTAAAATATGAATATTATGAAAATTAAAGCAAAACTCAAAAGTCTGCACAGAAACAAGTAAAAGCAACCTTCCAAAGCCAGTTTTTCATTAAAATAAAGTGAGTCACCACCAGAAAAACCTATAAATAATCACACACACACACACAAATAACTTTACTGAAAAAACTCATTTCAATTCGGTGCATTCACACGTGAACTCGATTAAAATCTCTGTGTTGGATAAAAATACATCTCTTAATATTATTTAATTTTTTTCCTTAAAACTCGGTTGTATTTTTCATTTGATTTGCGCTTTTTCTCACTTTGAAAACATTTAATAGCTTTCTCACGCGGTGTCTGCAGGTTTTAAGTAATTTCCTGCCGAATTTCGAAAAGAAGGGTCCGAATGCAGTAAATATTTATGACATAAAATATCCAACTCATAATCATTTCAGCGTCGCGCCAAGACTATGAAGCTGAAAAGTGGTAGTATTGTTGACATTAACGTCATTCCATCTGTGCATGTACTACTATTGTGCATAACAACAACAATCTCAGCTAAGGTAGTAAAGTAGTGTCATCAACATCGTTAGCCCCGCAGCCAACCCTTTTGCAACCGTTTGTTTTGCCTGCCTATTCTCTTTTACTTCGTCTTCATTCGTCTAACGTAAAGATTTGTGTGCCATTGGCATTGTCGTCGTTACTATTGTTGTTGCCTATGCACAGGTATTATCTATTGCACCTTACCAAAGTCGCATTAGCGGACTTTAATGCACTCACTAAGCCGGCTAGTTAGAAGAATGGAAGTAAGTAATTTGACCTTCGTTGCGTTTGTTTGGCAGCTGAGCACATGAGTGTGCGTGCGTGTGTGTGTGTGTAAGAGCGCTAGCTGTGAATATAAGCAGTGCAATAAACGTTTTCCACTATCCGAAGAAAAGAGTGGTCCGTTTAGAATTTAAAATCTAAAATGGGTATGTTTATTTGATTCTTTTAAAATGTCCTCCGTGACCAGTATGTAACTAGTTCACTAATTTCCCCTAAAAACTAGTTCTACGTTTCAAATAAGATTCAGGCTCAGCACATTTGCTGCACCGAGCTGAATTACGCCACCTGAAGTATGTGCTTCGACAATGTCTTCTCAATACAACTAATTAAGAATGGAAAACACAAACCCTCATCTTTGCAGACGGCTCATAAATCGATGTAACAATCGATATGTCAATTTGCAATTTGGGAAGTCGCTGAAGGGGTTACATACGTCCAGAATTTTCAAAAAATCGATTTTTTTTTATAGGTTAGTATTCTTTATAGTTTTAGGCGTATTTCTGTGAAAGTCGATTGTAAAAATTCCCCATAGATACAAAGTTATGGTAGAAAATCAGACCGCCCGACGAGAGTTTAATGCACACAGGTAGCTGTAACACACACATGACACATGAAAGTTTAAACGCGTTTTTCTCGAAACTACTTTTCCCGGCACGGTCTGCATGATAACTCATACAGTTTTTAACATTTTTCGATGCGATTTTTTTTTAAATATTCGAAAATGTTTTCTCTATAGTCTGTCGAGCCGTATTTTCGATATTTTTATTAAAAAATTAACATAATTAAAGTGTGACATTTATGACGTAAAACGCATACTTTTTTTCTAAATTCCGTAAATTGGAAAATTTTTCGAAATTAAAATATTCGGCTCGACAGACTTTAACTACAACTTCATTTTACAAGAATTTTTTTTTATTTTTACAGATCCATCAACATTCCAAGGATAAATGATGCAGACCGTGGAGCAACTTTTTTTTCATTGTACTTTGGGTCGCGTGATATTTTATGTACTAATTTTTGTAAAGAAAAATTAAAATACATTTTTTTATAAACTTTAAGTACCAATAAACATTGTATAAAATTTCTTTATATTTATTTCTATTGTTATCCCTTCTGAAAACAGTTTTTGTTTTAGCGCTTTTTGGTGCTGCTGGACGTATGTAACCCCTGAATGTCTGCTCAAATCTAAGGTAGTATGACAATCAGTCACGATATATTCTGACATCCAAACTGTCATTGGATCCCTACAGTGCAACAATACCGCTCTAAAACAAGCTATAAAATATAGAGGCACTCTGAGAAAACCCACGAATCGAATATAACACTGCCGTGATCTGGTTGTCCCAACACAAGGACTTAATAGATTACGTCCCCGGCAAAGAATGTGCTAAAACGGGCGAAAACTAGCGATAAAGGAAACATTAGATGACTGAATAAGATCCTATGCAACCGTCAGCATTGTATGCAAAAAGACCAATTCATCTTATCATTCAAGACCTGTTCTCCATTAGCATAACCATAGATGTAATAACAGGTCATTGTTTCATGATGCTTCACGGGAAAAAATGGGTTGGCACTCTAATATTCATTGTCATGGAATTTGAGATAAATAAGAGGAAGAAACTGTGGAACACTATCTATGGTACTGTCCAGCCTTTAATACCGCGCGACAAAAGTTCCTCCGGCAACACTTTTTGACTGTCGACTTAAAGATTCCCACATTTGAGAAGGTAATAAAACAAAAAGTTCAATACTAATTATAAATATATGATTGGTTATTTATAATCTTCCCTATACGTCTTGATGTTTTCTCAAAGAATGGAAGGATCTACAGTTTATTCTAGGCCTCCATCCAGTTTTTATGGTTTAGCTTTTATTTCATGTCTGAAATACACTCGGAGGGCTTGGCATTCCCTGCCGAGCGGCTGCCAGAGTAATAACATTGGACCGACCCCTGGTCTTCCGACCACTCAGCTAATGCGGCCACAAACACATTTTTTAAATGGCTTTAATTAATCGCATCGACTTATTCTCAAATCTTTAATTGTTACCTTGGAAAGTGATTAGATCTAACCGGAATAGTTCGTAACCAGTCTCCGTCTAACGATGAAATATTTTCAAGCCGAAAAATTGACTTGATTTTGTTCCTTTATGTATAACTCTTTGCAATGTCAACGGAGAATTAATATATTAATTTGTATTTAGTTGCGTTTCTAGATGCTTTGCTTTGCTAATGCATCTGCAGCAGCAACAACGACGACTACTGCTCCACGTTGCCTTTGGCTACTGACCGTGAAATGTGATGACGTTATCCAGCAAGTGGTGACATTCGTTTTTTTTATTGTTCTTTATGTGCATACAATATGTAGAAAAGCAAGTTTACATTAAATATGTATTTATGCTTAGAGCAAGTTACAAAAACAATCTTCACACATACCATATGTATGAGTGTACCGTAAGTTATTCAGCGGTGCTGTTTGTAGCACTGATGGCCAAGTTGCAAGAGTTTTGCTCATACATATTTATCTCCTTTATTGTCCGACTTTCTCAGCACTTTCCAGTCCAGTACAAGCCAGTTTCGGTGAAAAATGCGTCGAAAGCAACAAAATTAAGTATTTATAGCATGAGAATAGACAAATGCATATAATAAATATAGTAAATAAGTGAATGTGCATATATACATATGGTGCTTATGTGTACTTTTTACTATGAAGAATGACCGTTAGACAAAGCACAGGGAATGGGAAAAGTTAAGGTTTCAAGGAAAATGTTAAACGAGAATGTTGTATGTGGAAGCAAATAATTTTTAAGAACCTAGCACTTATTGAGGAGGTCAAACTCCTTAATTAAGGAAACTGTATTACTTTCAGATTGTTTTCATTGCAATCGATTATTCACTTGCCACTCAGTATATTTGAAATTTTCTATTCCAAATTGTTAAGTAGATAAAACTTTGAGCTACTAAATCCCCAGAAACCAAATGTTTTTCGATTTTTTAAAGACTACACTCAGATTCACTACTGACTAGCCCAATTCTTGTTTCGAAATTCAAAGTAAATTCATAAAATTAATGAAAAATAGTGATTTCAGAGGGGTAATGTACATAAACAAAGTAAATGGAAATTATTACAGTAAAGTCAAAAACTACTAGTTCTCTTTTACCACTTCTTTAAGAGACCGATTAGCTTACGGGATTAAATTTTTTAAGTTATGAAAAGAAAAAGACTTATAATAAACTAGTTAAGAACTGGTACAAAATGGACTAGTTGATATCAATAACTAATTTTCATATTTAAATATTTATTTTTTTTAATAATTTTTAACTGCTCTCAATCAATGGAGCACAACTTTATAAGGACCTAAGACAGACAGACATACATATACTTATACATATACTCTGTGGACTTGAGCTCACAAGCTCCTTACTTAATCCGCTTCTCTAATCAATAGCTTTATGGCCTTAGAAAAACATCTCCTTTTCTTTGGCAGATTAATCTATTTGAGTATCAAAATGTGACAGTACTGGTGGGAGAACCTCCAAAGAGCTTTAGTGAACAAAACATTTTAGCCAACGGCGGCGAACAGCGAGTAACCAAAAGCAGCAATGTGGCTGTTTGTCCTGGCGCCATACAAGCGGCTTTAATGTCATATTTATTGCCCAAAACTGGAAAAATAGTTGCCGGAGAGTAATGTTAAATAGCCATAGAGTGTGTGTAAGTGTATTATGATAAGAAAAGTTTTTTTCGAAAGCCCGTTTTGTTGTTACTGAATGAATTATGGGAAATTGATTTTTCTTTTCGCCTTTTTAGTGTCTTAGAAATGAGAAAAAAGAGGAAACTTAATTAAAAATGAACAGAAAAAAAGCAAGTTAGAGCAAAAACATATATATATTTATGTGGGTATATATTAAAATCCAGCTGTGAGCAAAATTGTGGTGAAAAGAAATTAATTTTCTTTGTGGTTTTCGATAATAACTCATTTCGACGGCGAAAAGAAAAGTTGAAAAAAGAAAACCGAAAATTTGTCTCATTAGAAATTTTTCAGAGTGGGCAATAAGGCAGAAAGAAACAAGAGAGGGAAACTATCTTCGGCCAGCCGAATTATTTACACTTTTCATGAATATATTAAATTTATTAGAAAGTTTTTCAATTTCTATGATTTTCGGTAAGAATGTTTATATATAAATATATGTATATATGCTTAGTATACCAAATAACTCGCCCTGATTTTTGATTTTTGACCTATAACCTCATATCTGAACAAATATTGAATATTCAATGCGACATAATATATTGGTATTATTAGTAATTATTAATAATTTATATTATAGTCGTTATTTTTAACAACTTATCACTGCACAATTGCGGCATGAAAGCAAGAAGATTGCTAAGGTCTTTTTGACCCCTTCACACCTTTTCTGTTCATCCTCCTATTAAGTATCTCCCATAGTTCTCAATTAGATTGAGATCCGGTGATTGCACTAGCCGGATATTAATATTTTCAGCTGCGATCGTATATCCTACTAGTTTCAAGGTGCGTTTAGGGTTGCAATTGTGTTGAAAAGATCACGAAAGTGGCATATTTTACTTGGCATGGAGAGGTATCACGCATCCACAACGCCATGTATATGATGCAAAGGTAGAACACATGATATTACCTGTGTCATGCTTAACAGTACAGATACCGTATCGAGGATCTAAGCATCTGGTGATTGATCGCTCTTTTTATTACATCCTAATATTTTAAATTAAATTTTATTTATCAGAAACTAAATTGGTTGACTGAGCAATTGATATGCTCTCGACCAAACTGTAAACGGATAAGCCGATTTTTTCTGCAAATGACTGACTTTTTGGTTGCTATGTAACTCTCTGTATCACAAGTTCGCACTTTTCCATGATCAGTTTTGTTGCTACATTTTATCTTAAGAACCTTAACTGAGCTTGACGCCGACTTTTCTAGATTCTTATTTAGTTCCATGAGCCTCTGCAAGTCCTCGTACCGTGTTGTAGCATTAGGTCGGCTTCCATGGTAATATGTTTCGCCACTTCCAGTTTCTTTAAGATATTCATAATGAAAAGTATGTGGATTTGTTCACACCAAACTTTTTTTCAAATACCTTTTTGAAAGTAACTATTTTTACAAAAGGTTTTTTCAACTATACTGAATTTGCCTCAGGCATTAGCACTTTTTCATAAAACTTAAAGCGCATTACAGTTATTAGCGCTTGATATGCAAAACATCAAGAAATAACGGTGCTTTCATCACCAACTGAGGGAAAATGGGACCGATCCAATATATTATGTTGCAGCAAATATTGCATACTCCGAATTTTTCATACACAAAATTTCATGAGTGGACATTTTTTTCATAGAATAAAAAAAAACAGTTTCCATTAATTTCATTGTAATTTGCTTATACTTAAAACGATATTTAAAGGTGCAGAATATGATAATATCAGTCGTAGGTTAGGTCAATATGTTTTGTCCGGAACTTTGTTACGAGTATGAAAAGAATCAGTTGAAGTTTCCATTATATGATAATTCTGAAATAATTCTTCGAAAGATTTAGGAATTCCTTTTCTCTTAAAAAAAAGAACAAATTAAAGAATAATAATAATGAAATTAAAGAGAGAGAGTGGAAGAATAAGATGAAAAGTCGGTTGGCTGGCTAAGGATCAGCAGTGCGTTGCATAGACCATTTGGTTTGCTGCCAATCTTGGCATTAGTTTTCCCTTAAGTATTTATGGACACATTCAGATACATCACATACGCATGTGTAGCTCTTAAACCACTTTGCGGTAATAACATGTATGCAACGTTGCATTAGCAAAGAGATCTACTGCAAGAAATAAGCACAAAAAACAACAAAAGATCCGCTTCCCCCCAGAAACTATCATCTCATTTTCGTTAATGTCTGAGTAAGTATATGGAAATCATTGATTTGTTGTTGAAGGGTGGTTGGCTGGTAGCGGACAATCCAAGGGTGTCGTTTGTTTACGCAATTGTTTAAGTTGTTATTTTGGCTGTTGTTGTTATTGTTTGTAGGAACTTTTTTATATGATAATTTTTAATAAACACTTTACACACAGCAGTTAGCAGGAGAATAATAAACATTTGCAATTAGAAAATATTTTTAAAAATGTGTGAAAATGTTTAGTAAAAAATTGCACATTTCTGAGAAATTCCAATAGTTAATGGCGTTATTTTAAAAGATGCAAAAATTACTAAAAATTTTGACGGAACTGCTGAGAACGTTATTAATACTACAAGGACTACCTAATAAACAAATGTAGATTATTGTTTCCTGTTTCCTCTTAAAATAATTTTTTGACGGATCATACCTGTTGGGCTATTCACATTTTATTTATACATATATTTTTAATATTATTATTTGATTATTTTTTTAAATCATTATACTTATTGCCGAAAGTGATAATATTTTTCGCGAAAGAATTAAGCCTCGAGAAGTTTTGAAAGAACAATTGATGAAGGTGACACAGTCAAAGGCCGAGCATGTTTAAAAGGAAGTATTTGAGGGTGAATTAAAAATCTTATTGAATTTTTTTTTAAGAAAAGTCTAAATAAAAAAATTAAGCGAGCTTAATTTATTTCTTTAACAGCAGAAGTTGTCAAAAGAATTGCAATTATTTTCTTATTTTTCGTTATACATTTTTTTGTTATTATTACAGAATGTTGAGGAAATCATAGAAAATATTATCTGTTTTTAATCACGAAAATTTGGAAAAAAAATAATTATAAGTACATTTGTCTACGCGTATATGGTCCTATGTTATATTAATAATTTCACACGAATAAAATTTAAAAGTAAGTATTGCTGTTGCACATATCAATAAGCAAATAAAAACAAAGATATACTCCCATATTTGCTTAGATTAAAACAGTCACAAGAAAAAAAATAAATAATAACAATATTATATTGTTAAAATCTATACCGTTTAAAAAAATGATTAGCAATAATTTTACTTAGAAAAAAGATTTTAATGAGAAAAAATTCAGAAAAAATTATAATTAAATAGAAACAAGTTCTAAATAAAAGATAAAATTTTTGCTACTGAAAAGTGTTTTTTTTTTAAAGTTAGTTTGGAACTTAATCTCCATTACCAATAAATAGAAATCTCAGTTCGAGTTCCAAAATGTTTCCTAATTTGAAATACCCGAATTGATTGTATAATTTAAAATAAAGGATAAAAAAATAACATAAATAAGAAATTAGTTCTAATTAAAAATATTTATTAAATAAACAAAATATAAAAAAAAAATAATTTCAAGAAAATAAATTTAATATGATGCAATATCAAAACGAAAATTGTTTGTTCAAATGAATGCAGAAAAAGTTTAACCCGAGTTTCAGATAAGGAAGTGATTTGCCTCTAAATGTTATTTAAAAATAATGATACGAAAAACCAAATTATTTCATTAAAAATAATTTAATTTAATTTAATTTATTTTAATAGAAAAGGAAATTTGATTATAAAAACACTAATTTACATATTTCAATTAGTGTTTTTATAACCAAGAGGAATTTAAAGAAAAAAGTGTTAAGAACATTAAATTCAAGTTCGAGGAAAGAAAATTAGCCGCCTTTGCTTAGCAGAGTTTGAAAAATATGAAGCTTACTTATAACTTTAACTGGTGGTAAAAAAAATAATGAGAATTTTTATATTAAAAATCAAAAGTAAATAAATATAAAATAAAACTTAATTAAAAAAATAATCATCACAATTTCCACTCACCAAAACATTCTTCTGATTCTCCTTATCCAACAGGAATTCCATACTCTTATGCGGCCGGCGCACAGATGCAATTTGACTGCCATTTGCTGTTGTTGATTTGATGACAACACCGCCACCGCCACCACCGGCGCCACGCCCACCAACATCACGACCATAAACACGCACATCGTCATCATCATCCACATCCAAATCGGCATTTGCACCGCTAATCGCGCTCATATTCAAACGTCTCGCCGCACCGAGATGTTGTGGACCGACAATATCCACCAACGAACGCGTCTTGCCCGATATAACCGTTTCATGTGTATCCAAATTTGTTTCAATTAAACCGATCTTACTATTGTTGTTGGTGTGTTGCAAATACGCATTCGACATGGTTGTATACGTGGGCGCGACAATTCGACCGTTAGAAGCCGCGTCGGATACACCGGAACCGGAACCGGTAGCGCCGTTTGCACCATTGCCGCCGGTTAATAACATAACGGTTTCGCGTGTAACACCCGGCACGGAATAGGCGATTTGAGCCGACTCCTGGGCAGCGGATGGAGTTTCGTATTGCACGTTATATGGTCGTGTTGGTGTTGTTGTTGTTATTGCGTTTTCACTTAAGCCAACCGTATCTAGTTGATTAAATTCTTGTGTGGTTTGTTGTTGTTCGCGATTTACATTAGCACCGTGAGCTTCGTCATAACCGTTATCAATGTTATTTACAGCCAATTCGCATGCTGCTTCGACAACAGCGCTACCGTTCGCTTGCAAGCCCGCATCTAACTGTTTTTCAATTTCATCGTCATTATAATACGAACGTTCGGCATCGAGAAAATCGGTATAGAATTGACTACGCGACTTGAAGTTGGTTGCATTTGGCATACCATCCTTCTTTTGCGCATGTGCCGGCACACCGCCTGCACCGCCCTGTCGTCGGCCGCTGCCAAAGTATTTTGTTATAATAGTTGTGCTCGACGTGGTGGCCGGCATGCTGCCGTAGCGATAGGGCTTCGGCGGTTTGCCGGTAACAAGCGGCTCGCCATTACGGTCGGTAATGGCGCGCATAGCACTTTTGTCGTTGCCGCTTTTGTTCGAATTGATAGTGACTGGTGTGGTGGCGGAGCTTTTTATGTTGTTGTTGCTATTATTGTTATTGTTGGTTGCCGGCTTTTGTTGACCTTTGCCGCCAATTTTCGTTGCATCGGCTGGGCTGAAGTTGACGGGCAGAGTGGCCGAAGTGCCGCTATTCGCTGATGTTGTTGTTGGCGTTGGCTCATTTTCAGCTTGTTGTTGTTGCTGTGATTGTGGTAGTGTACCTGGTGGTGGTATGGGACCTTTTAGCGGTATATAAATATAATCGACACCGTCACTGTGTGCGGTTTTAACAGTTTTGGCTAGATTATTTCGCGTTGACGACGCTTGCTTTTGCTGCTGTTGTTGTAGTTTTATTTGTGGCAAAGCTGCCGACTTACCGAAACTCTTACGCATTGTCGACTTGTCCACTGACATAAGGTCATTCTGCTCACCCCCTCCCTGCTGTTGCTGTTGCTGGTCCTCGCGTTGTTGCTGCTGTTGTTGTAGTTGTTTTTTATTCTTTCGTCTCAAAGAGAAGCGCAGGCCATGTGCGAAACGTGATAGAAAGCCCTTCGAGCTCGGATGTTTTTCATCCTTGAATTTCTTATTCAACAACTCATTGTTATTATTGGCTGCAGCGCCGTTGACGCCGCCGCCGCTTTGGGCACCCATTGTGGCGTTGGACATTCTGTAACGTGTAACTTGAGCCGTGCCACATAAATTACCCACACTCTTTGTACGTCTATCACCCACGCCCCCTACACTCACACTCTTGGCATCAACACTGTTATTTTGTTGTTGTTGTTGTTGCTGTTGCTGATACAAATGCTCGATTTCACGTCGCTCGAAATTATCGAGCATCTGTTGAGACGCGTATAAAATATGATGCGCGCGATTTATTGGCGGCTCACTCAGTATCGGCAGGTGTATGCTGAGCGGACGCGATTGCCCAGGCGCACTGTTATTCGAAGAACCCACACTTGCAACACTTATTAAACTGTTATTCCGATTAGACTGCGCATCCGGTTCGTTACCAACGTAAATTGACTCGCTTTGTTTTGATTCTACCGTCGCCGAGGTCGCTTGTTCCGTTTGAATAATATTCGTTGTTGCATCAATGATCGTCGCTTCTTGACTAACATTAGCTGGCGTCGCCACTCCAGCGCGCACCGTTTCACTGTTGTCGTACGTCTCAGTAGACTCAGCAGTCGCTGCGTCGTTTGAATCGAGTTTTAATGCTTCACCCTTGGTTTCATTGCTGTAGTCAGTGGCCGCGTTGGCTTTGTGCGATGTTTTTTCTATGTCTTCGCTCTTCACCTGATTTTCTGCTTGCTCTTGCCAGCCACTCTCTTGCGCTTGCAAACGTAAACGTTCTCTTGCTTGCTCTTCAGCTGCCTGACGTTCTCTTACAATAATCATGGCTCTCACCTTCTCTATGGGCACTGCTCTTATTTGCGCAACACTCTTGGTGGCATTACCTGTAGCCAGCGCGCTCTTCAACTCGGCCGCATAGCGTGCTGCTATCATTTCATTAACGCGTGTATTTTGTATGACCGTTGCGTCAGCATTGTCCAGCAGCTCATCATCGGTATCGTCTTGCTTCTCAGCCGCACCCAGTGCTTGCTCACCATCGTGGTGTTGATGTTGCTCGGCATATTCTTCAGAAGATTGCTCTTGCCAGGAGTATTGTGAGACAACCGGACAGAAGCTGACCTCTTTGCTGAAGGAAGTCCTTGAACCCGTAGGTAGAAGTATTCCCAGTGGTTTTTGCGTCGTAGCCTGCGGCAACTGATGCATGGAGGTATGCGCACTGGAGACATACATATCATCCGCCACCTCATCCGCGTGTGGATCGTAAGCATTCAGATTTGGTGTGCTTGAAACCATATTCCGCTGCTTGGCAGCATTCGCCTGCGAGTGAAAACGTCGCTTGGGTATAGAGTTCGTTTTATTCAATTCTGTGCTGCTCAGCTCTTTTGCATCGAAGTTGCACTTCTCTAAGCTTTGTGTATAGCTTGTGCGCAAATTGGTTGGGTCCTGGTCGAATGTCTTGCCGTAGGCGACTGTTGCAGTGCTTGTGGTGGACGTTTGATTGGCAAAGAGTGGCGCATCACTAATTAGACTATGTGTGGCTTCGGATTTGCGTGCGTGTTTTTGTCGCGCAGGTGGTTTTCTTATAGTCAGCTGAATATGCTGAACTGCGGCGGCCGAAGACTCATCGGTGTCGCCAGCACTATCCAAGTCCGAGTAACTCGAGTTGGAGTGTTTTCGCAGACGTGGAGGTGGACGTGGACTGCAGCTTGGTAAGGGTGCTACTGCTTCTGCTACCAGGTTCTCGGCTGTCGTCATGGCAAGTAGTTGCTCCTCGCCATCCATCGGTTTATCGTTCAAAATCGAAGCATTGCGATCGTATATCTGTGATAGTTCATCCAGTAAAAAGTTACCTTTGCAAATTATATGATCATAGTCGGCGCTAGCTGTGCTCTTGGGCGTGTCCATATTGTCGCAGCTCGTCTCGCGCTCACCTTCGCTACTTCCGTCGATGTAGGCGCTGCAACGTTTCAAATTGGATTGTATGCGCTGTTTACTCAGCTCTCCCTGCTCTAGCGAATAATCTAGTTGCGTTAGATCCTGATAGCTTGCGTTCATATAACCCAGGGATTGTGTGGCCCAATTTCTGCGGCGATTCTCTCCCAGCTGTGTATTATTGTCGAACACCGCTTCGAAGCGTTTCAAATTACGTTCGCGCCGCTCAGACCAACTGCAACTACGGCGTATTCTGAATGATGTGGTGACGTCAAAGAAGTCGTCTTCGTTCTCTGCTTCGTCTGCACTGGAATTGCTGGGACTTGTATTCTCTTCTTCCGGAGATGATTTGCACTGCCTATGGCGTGTACTTACACGTTTTTTGCGTCCCAATTTGTTCAGTTCACTTGGTACACTAGAAATGCGTCGTCCGACAGTGACGTAACCACTAACAAAACCACTAATAGCTGCGTTTTCAGTTGTAACCGCACCTCGACCACCACCAGCGTTATTATAGACACGCTGTCTTTTTCTAGCCTCTGGCGTGGATTCGTTGTCTGTCGTTTCGTCACTATGACTTTCACGCGCCGATGATGCTGAGCCCGACGATGTCGTTGCCGATGCCGATGTCGTACTAAGGTCCGAGTCGTCTAGATTATATGTTGCTATAATGGCGCCACCCGCTGACCGTTCGGTGTCTATAAGTTCATGTTTGTGTGATGGTTTCGTTCGTCCACTCCTATGTAAATGCTCCAGTCCGTGGCCGTTTGTGTCGCTCACGTTGCTTACGTCACTACCGTTCCTCCGCTCTTCTTCTATCGAGTCGACGGGAAAATATGTTTCGAGTAGCTCGATTGTGTTGCAGGTTGTAGTACTTAACGCGTCGCGTATATCTGGCAAACTGTTTCGTAGACTCGCGGAAAAATTGTTGAGAGTCGTTCGACGTGGCTGCTGTTGCTTTTGCGTCGCGGCTAATAGCTCTAGTTTTCCTGACGATGTTTGCTTTTGCCCACTATGTTCTAATTGTATTTGTAGTTGCTGTTGTTGCTGTTGCAATTGCCGCGGTGTTGGTAGCCATGTGAATGAAGTGGTCGATGCGCATGTGGATGCTGAGGTGGAGGATCGCGCTGTACCGCAACTGCTGCCTGACGATGCTGACGAAGCGGACGACGACGAAGTCGACGAGATATCGGACGCTACCGGCGAAGGAGAGTGGGCCAACAAGCGACCATGTTCAAGCGCTGAAGCTGAGGCGGTCGCCTCTCGCGTTGGGCTATATTTAGCACGCTCATACGTTGGACACGTCGATACCAGCGATTGGGACGCATAACGCGAGCCATTAGCTTCTTGCTCTCTATCTAAATTATTGCGCTCCTCGTCGAAATCGTTTTCAACGTCTTCTTCGTTGTCGTCGCCCATCGCAAGACTGCCCTTTTCACCATTTACCGCTTGCGTCAGGGTATGTGGTCTTGTTTTTGATTCTGTTAGTGGCGTATTGCATGATGTTCCCTCCTCCTTTTCTTCGTTTACGTGATCCGTTGTCATGACAAATGTGGCGTCATTTATTTTTGGCTGGCATATATCTTCTTCTTCTTCTTCACTGTTTATGTGCGTATGCTGGTGGTTGAGTAGACCTTTGGAATGTTGCTGTGGTTGTGTTGTTTTTGTAATGCTGTCAATGTCCCCAACCGCATGCCTAGCCTCACACGCGTACTCATACTGCTGGAATTCCTCTTCCTCCTCGCAGAATTTCTCGAAATTCTTTGGTATACTTTTCGATTTGGCGCGTCGCAATGTCGATGGCTCACAATAGCCTGAATCTTCGGAAAGGTTTTCCGCCGAATTCTTGCCGGCACGTTGGAATGCCATTATGCGACCGGTACGCATACCCGCTGCGCAGCTCGAGTCTGTCAAATCTTCCGCCGAGGGTTTCGAGGCCGTTAAAATACTATTTCCTGATGAGCTGCCAGAGCTGGTGGATGACTCCGAGTCAGATTTGACCTCACCTACCGTCGCCTCCATTAAATTCGCTTTACTTGCACCGAAAAGAACACGCTGGTCATCATCGAAATTCAGTTTATCCAAATCGAAGTATGTCTGGTGCAGACGTCCGTCAGACGACTCGAAACGTTTCAGCAATGAACTCTGTGAGCCACGTCTGCTGTTATTTCCGCTGTTACTGCCGCTATTACCGCCACTACGTATACCATCTTCACTATTCAGTGCGCCCGTGCTGCGGGTACCATCGAAACTGAGTAGCGAGGGCGAAGAGTTGCCCAGACTGGACATGCTCGCATGCTGCTCTTGCAGCTGCAGCTGCCGCTCCAGGGATTCGAATTGTATAAGTGAGGAGGAGCGACTAAGCGAGTGATAAGATATCGAATCTGAATCGGAGTATTCATCAAAGCGGCGACTGCCGGTGCTATTACGCTGCGGCGCTACCGCTTGCGTTGTCTGCTGCTGACCCCAGCTGTCACGTGTGCTTGCCTCATAAGCCAAAAATCGTTCCAAGCTATTACTATTCGCCTCATTATAATCGAAGGGACGTTGCGTTCGTCGTAGCAAAACAGTGTCGTCATAACTGCCGGATGCAAGCTGTACTGTTTGATTGGATTGTTTTGTTACGGCTGATTGCACGGCCACTGAAAGCTGACCACCTATAATAAAATCGTCGCAACGACGTGCGCGTTTGGCAGGACAAGCGAAATCGCGCTCCGAAATCGAATCAGGATCTGTAAGAAAGTGATGAGGAGTTAGTTGGGGTTTCTAAGTACTTGTGAAATTTCTTAGTGTACCTTTGTTTACTTCGACCCTTATGACAGAGCCTGTCTCCGATTCCGCCGAGCTCCAGAAGTGCTCTCGACCCTGCTCATATTGATTCCAGCTGTTTTGTGCGTGCTCCTCATCTTCCGATGTTTCTTCGAGTATTGGCTCAAGCATTTGCCGTGAACTGGACAGGTAAATGGCATCTGTGTGTGAAGCGACAAAGAAAGAAGATTATTAAAGTTTAGAAAAAAACTATAGGATACTATGCGATCTCAGTCAATGACAGACCTAAGTTCTGACCGCGCCATCTGCGCATTATGCCACCCCCCCAGTCTGCCACACTACGTTAATTTTATTATTCTATCACTCGTTTTGGTCCGTATAAGACCGTTTTCGATTGAGTTTTTTAAGCCACAAGGCGTTTGCGAAAGCAAACCGTTTCTAAACGCGCCCAATATACAACTAATCAAGAAGACCTTTTCAGCAATGTACCGCTTCAGCGGCTCCAACAGCCATACAGTTGCATTACGATGGCGGCGGCGGCGGCGGTGGTGGTGGCTGGCACTGCAGCTGTTTCTCGTCTGATTACATTCTATGCATGAATGTTTGTATGAATACTTCAGTATGTGCAAGATCACTACGAACGCGGAGGGCACGCAGCGTGTAAGACCAAAATACTCCACACAAAGACTGCAAGTCAGGCATACAAATCATCAGTTTTGGGAAACCGACGATGGATGAGTGCAGTAGCAACAGGCAGACCAAGAGTCTGAAGTTATCGGACGAAGAAAAAAGTAAAAATAAAAAACAAAGCAGAGCTGGAGAAGAAGAATTGAAAACAAAACAGAAAGCTACACAGCAAATCAAAGAAGATTCAGTTTAAGGAATTAAGCACGCTGTTGGCTGCTCTGCGTGGAAGACAAGACCAATTCTCGAAGTTCGTGGGCCACCACAGCGTTGATATGACTGTTCTATATTGCTGTCTCATGAATTTTCCCTTTTGCAGTTTATGGATCATCCAGCAGAAGCTGAGCCAAAGTCAGCGAGCGCAGCAAAAAATAAAACAATCAAACACAATTACATGCATATATATATATATATGCTCATATGTGTAGGTATGTATGATTCATTCATGATCACGAATCATTTGTATAAACGTAGAGTGCGGCGTGTGTATGTACATACATATATATATGTACATACACGCCTTGATTGGTCTGGGCTGACTTGCCAGAAACTTGAAGACTACGTTTGTTGTGCCGGCAGCTTCGGTCGGCAATCGTCGTCGTTAATAATAAATTTATTAATTAAGTGCAGATAAAGCGGCAGCAGATTATTTTCGCCTATATTTTTTGTTGTTGTTTTCGCATACGACTTCAGCTGTGCAATGACGCGCAACAGTGTGCAACATCAAAATCAACATTCAGCAGCAACAAGCGAAACTCTTTCATGTTCTGAGGGCAACTTTTGACTTCGTCTCCGGAGCCATCAGCTAGTCTTGATATGCGTAGTGCCGTCTAGGTCAGCAATGGTATTTCAATTTTTAGCGCTGTTACTAAACTTTACATTGCGGTTTCATCATCGCTCTTCCTCTGCTTGCTTTTGTGACGGGAGTGGTCTCTTTTGGATTTCGTATGTTAGCTTGCAATGCTCTAGAGAAAAATACAAGGCGTTGCTATTATTTCTAACGACTGAGTACTGTAATTTAAGTATTTATTGCGAATCAACTTCCCATTTATTGTCGGCTTTGGACTCAAATTAGAGAGATTTATGAAAACAAATTCAGGAATTTGTACGTAATCTTCATAGATGGAGAAACTGAGCGGACAAGGTGGACATACACATATGCACGAAACCCTTAGTTCTAACCAATATATTTCGAAGGTAGAAGATTTTTATTCTGCTGAGCTTGGAGTCAGGTGAAAAAAGAGCTGATATGACTCTCATCTTATTTTCATGATTATCATTAATATAGTCATCCAGCCTAAGCAAGAGTTGTTAAATGTTACCCGATCTAACACCATTCAGCAGTGCACCAAACCCGTTTAACGAACGAACGATTTTGGGCCCCGGAAGCGGCCTTCAGTTTTTTGTAAGAGTTCAAGTAAACCGAGTTATCGCCCCAAACTCTTCACGACAAGGATGTGACTCTACTACAGGCAACGTTTGCACTCTCTTTTAAGACAAAAATCTTCCTTCAGTCGCTAGCTTGACAGAGGTGGAATATGAAATATACTCGTAGTTCTAAAAATAACGGTTAGTCTAGCGTATTCCGTGTAGTGCACAATTAAACTATTCTCTGAAAAGTCTAGTTTGGTGTTAGTTTAGTTAAAAGGGAAAAAGGGAAAAACAACAATAAGTGAAAGTGACGCACATGTAACTTAATGGGATAACCATTGGCACGTGCTGTGGGCATCCCAAGTTCGAATCCAATTCGAACAAAGGTGTCTGGAAAAAGAAGTCTGAAAGAGTCTGACTTCTACCGACCAAAACTGTAGTTGTAATTTTTTCACTATTTCCAAAACAGTTCCATAAAACTAAAAACCCAAAAAAGCCACTTAACATTATAATGACCTAAAAAGCTCAGTTTAGTTTAGTTTCATATTCAAGATTGCCACTGTCAACAATGAGATTCATTTTTTGAATCTTAGTGCAAGCGAAATGGAAATTTTAAATAGACAAATGAACTATTGTTTGACTAGTATGGAGCTGTTAGTTGGTCGGTGAATTTACGTTATATTACATGAGAATCCATCGACTTCCCAGAGACGGCTAAGAATAAACAAAAGGTACTAAGTTATAGAGCCCCTATTATTGTATAACAAGCTGCATCTGAATGAGCTGAATTCAACATGAGGAATGATCAAACTTTAATAGTTTTATTAAAAAATTATAAATTTCCTTTATACTTACAGTGGGGAGCAAAAGTGATTCCACGATCAACGTTTTCTTGTTTGAGCTCACATAAATATTAAACGAATAAAGTAAATGGCAAACACTTTTTTTTATTGAACGCCTTGTTATTTTGGTTATTTGAAACTTAATCTCTACCTATTCACTGAAAAATGAAGAAGCTGTCTTCTGTTAAAAAAAATAATTTTATCTCACTGAGTGTTCGAGACGCACTATTGCTGAGAAGCTGCAGATTAGTCAATCGGTGGTTGCCAAGGTGCAGAAAGGACAAAATGTTTGTGCTGAAAAGAGGTTGAATGATCCGTCGTTGCAGACTCTGACGCTCGACTTATGATGTCTAAAAATGAGAATAGGCTTTTAACGCCAAAAGAAGCAAGCTTCAACAGAAATAACTTAAGATGAGAGTCGATGGACAACTAGAGGAGGGTACGTCGCAGCAGTGAAAAAACAAACCAGCTTTATCTGAGAAAAATGTTAAGGCTCAGCTAAAATTCGCCAAGGACCACAAGAACTGGACAATAGAAAACTGGAAACGTGTGCGATAGGTGGGACGAATCTAATTTTAATCGTTTTCAATCGGATGGAAAGCAATACTGTTGGCGGAGACCTGGTGACAAGCTTCAAAGGCATCATGTGAAGTAAACCGTGAAACATGGATGCGGCAAAATAATATCATGGGAGAGTTTCACGTATTCGCACGTTGGACCGTTGCACACATGTGACGGTATTATGCGAAAGGACGACAATTTAGCATTTTGCAAAGCCATCTTCCCAACTTTCTTGCCCAGTGTGAGTACCCAGAGCAGAAAATCACTTTTCAGCAATATGGGGATCCCAAGCACACTGGGAAAATTTTTAAAGAATGGCTCGCATTTTAAGATGATGGAGTGGTCTGCGCAAAGTTCCGATATTTATTCGATTGAAAACCCGGACGGGATCAATCAGGCCCATCCAACTTGGACGAACTTTGGGAGCGTGTTGAACAAAAGGAAAATAATATTCCGAAAGGAAAATTAAGGTCTCTGGACCAAATATTAATAATGAATTTGTTTTTTAATTTTTCTTAATGATGCAAAACTGAGTACATGCCGCTTGTTTTTGTTTTTGAATAAGTACTATTTTCCTAGCTTCTTCAATTACTTTATTTCTTAGGCCTGGTTGTCACAAATAAAATACTATTAAAAAAAATTTTAAAATTTTATCATTTACTTCGTTCGTTTAGTTTTTATGTGCTCCCAAAAATGAAAAAGTTGATCGCGGAATCACTTTTGCTACCCACTGTATATACATATATATTCATTTTTTTATTCTCCCTCATTGTACTAAGGGAAAAGTTGAGCAATTCTTTTCGCCAAGTATAAATATATGTGGTTCTTATTTACCTTGTTGATCGAATGCCGACAAATTCCATAATGTTGGTGTATTAATTACACCTGCCAAATCCAAATGCTCCATATTTTTTATCGTTAATCAGTATCTTTAGGCGAACGATTCTCCGCTTTTTTCTGTGTGTTGTTTCCTCCTCAATTAAGCTTACTTAAGTCTAAATCGCCTTCTCACCTTCTGCGCTGTCTTATTTATCTAATGCTTCTGTTATCAGCCTTTGACGTCAGCTGCATTAAACGCATACCGTTATTTGTTGATTGCACTTTCGCTGCAGCTTATGCAATCAAGCTTGTGATTCTGTTAAAATTCTGTTATAATTTCAGTTTAATTAATTTTCCAATAAATTTTGTGGTTTATAATTTTTACTACAATTCTCAATGAATAAATTTTTTTTTTTCCTTTGTGTTTGTGTTTTGGGTATTATTTTCTTTATTCCTTTAGTATCGTCTTGATGCTCTAACACTTTTGCTTCGATTAAAATTTCAAGTGGTAAATTTGCCTATCCACGGCAGAAAAGAAAAACAATTATAAAAATTTCGCTTTTGTTTATTATTACTGATATTCCTCGCTTTATCTGCTTCTTCTTCCATATATTCAGTAGTATGAATTTGTATGTACATAGAAATACATATTTTATTCGTTAACAATTTTACATACAAAGCACCAAGTTCAGCATTCGTACAGAATTTATTAAATTTTCGATAAGCGAAAATGATATCTGAAACGATAAGAAAAATATACAGAAATTAAGAAATGTTAGCAAAAGTGATTAAGAAAATTTTGTTATTGTATTTATTTTAATATAATATATGGGAATTTTTACGAGGCCAAGGTGACTTGGAATGCATTAACACAATATTATGAGTTCATGTGTAAGGAATTTGGTACAATAGAGTGGAACAGTGGTTCCCAAATCGATTTGAGTTTGACTTATCATTCAAAAAATAAAAATATACAAATAAAAAGCACGATAATACCAATATATTTTATTATTGGAGTAATAAATAATTCCATCTAGAATTTGCTTACTGTATTCATAAAAATTTGGTAACCTCTGCTAACTAACAACTCACGAAACGACTGTCATTTCGTTTTGCTAACAAGGAAAATTAACTCAATGAAATAAACTCGTTTCATTTCGGTGCCATGTTACAAAAACGAAATTAAATCGTTAATGTTAAAGCCGCACAAATTCATCGTTAATGTTAATATTAAAACAGCAGCTGTTATGATATTATACTAATAGCCTATTTCCACCAAGCACTTAAATGCATTTAAGGCCTCTGTTAAGTAAATGAAATGTCAAACGTTTCCACCGAAAGTGAGTTAACTCAAACAGCTGATTTTTGTTTACATTTGCAGTTTACAAAATTTGCCACAACTATAGAAATCATGAGACTTAAGACTTGCAAGTGCAGATTATTTCTGCACGGACAAACGTTGCTGAAACGAATACGCTTTTATGCATGTTTCCATTTTCATATTTGTTTGTTTGTTCCCTTAAATTATTTATTTTGCGCAATCAGCTGATAGTTACCAGAGCCACGTATATTTTTATGTTGAGGGGATCGTTTGATATTTCACAATTGTTTTTTGTTTGTTTCTTATAGTTTTTTTTTTTGAAGGCGGAGAAGCATTATCTTCGCCAATTACTTAAAATAGGCATTTATGTTAAAACTAGCGCAAAATAGGAATTTTTATGCAAAAAATTTCACCATGCAAAATAAAAGTCTTGCCCCTCATTTAATCCGAAAATACACGACTCTGGCAGAAGTACACCGAAACTTCCGAAATGATTACATTATTAGTGACAGCAACGAATGTTAACATAACATTTTCTGTTAAATTGCCGAAAGTGAGTTAACTCACTTTGAAAAGTGAGTTAACACACTTTTATACAACAACAAACACATGGGAATTACCACATTTAAATGCGAAGTTTAAATACATTTAAGCTAAAATGCATTTAAACTCCGGTGGAAATAGGCTATAACAGCACTATCTGCTTACCATTTAACACTAACGACAGCATTTCGCTTCGGTTAAAAAATAAAATAAATTTTATATTGATAACTGCTTAAAGTCCCACTTTATAATGTTTCAACCGAAACAACGTGAAATTTATCGTTCCGGTGCTGAATTTGTTTAAACCAATCGACAAGTTGTTTCTGCCTTTACATCAGGAAATGAGGAACTTTCTTAAGTACAAAAATAAAGTCTTTATGTTCTATTAATAAAACTATAGATCTACCTAGCACTAAAGAGTTAAGATACCGTCAAAGGTAGCACTTAATTAATTTCAAATTGCCTATCAAAATTCCAAATTTTAATTTTTTTCTTAAATAATAAAAGCTGTCAGAGACAGCTGAAAAAAATGCATCCAAATTTAATTTAACATTTTGGAAATCAATAATCTGCTTTGGCCAAAATACACATATACTTTGACAGAAATTTTCAGGGAAATAAAAATAGCTGTATTAGCCATTCACCGTAATTTCTATTTCTGCAAATTATATGAAATGAAATTGCAAAAACTTTTGAAGTGCGGCCACACGTCGATTTCGAAATTTTTCGACAACAAATTGCGTATATTAAATATAAACTACGTAAAAATTGCCAAGTCTGAAAGTACCTTTAGGGAACCACTGCCGCTAAGAAAAAGCTTAAAAATTGTTATAATATTGATTCACATCTTTGTTTATTCGTGCAAACATTGCAAAGAAAATTTTCTTAATATCTATATATAATATATTATAAAGCAAACATCGAGGAGAGAAAAAAGAAAACACAAGTAGCTTTAAACTGTGGGATCTTACTTCTAAAGTACTGAACTTGATCTGCGTAACTACAGTCAAGCGTATCTAGTTCAATTAGGATTTTTAAAATACACGTAAGTGGATAGAAAGAGCTAAGCAGCTGGAGATCATTCGATGCGGGACTCTTCGGAACTGGCCTACGTTGACGATGCTAATGCTAAACATATTCCGATCCCATTATAAAGAAATTCAAGAATACAAAATGACATTGACATCAGCCGAATTTGTAGATATCATTTTTGATATGAAAAATAAAATAATAAAAACAAAATCAAAAAAAAAAAATTAGTGGTTTTGGTTTATCTTATTTGCTTCAACTTTCATTTGCCCAGATAAACAAAACATGTGTAGCACCCTTCCTTCCCAGAAATGGACCAAAGACCAGGTATGAGGTTCGATTTGTTTGAAATTTAGTTCGTCGAAAAGCTTTATTTCCTTCCATAGTACATAGTACAACACTATACAGTTGAATGTAGACGCAAAATCTGAATTTCTGCGTCATTACTTTTTGCATTCATAGTTCATGTACTATATGTAAAAATAAGCTAATTTGAAAATTCATACACCGAAGACCTTGATTTGGACAGATATGAAGAAAACATATAAAAAGATAAGCCAATAAATATTTGTACTGACTCTGATCAATATGATGTTGCTGCTGATGTTGATGATGGATCAGCCTTGCGGAGAATGAAGCTGCCATAATCATAGGTATAATAGGTATAATAGGTATAAAATGAATTCAAAATGATTTGTTTGATTCGAACTAAAGAAAAAAGGGAACCAAAATCAAAATTTGTGGACTCACCGCGGAGATGTTTGCCAAAAACGGTGAAAAACGGTCAAAAAAATGGTTGTTTTTGTTTTTGAGGACAAAAACTAATTATTCTCGGTAGGTCGGTGTTGAATTTTGTTTGTCTATTCAACAGCAACATCTTTGCTCCGGAGACATAGGCAACATTACATACGGTTGAGGAGATTTGGCAAGATCAGAATATCAATATTTGGCGTCTACGTTCAAATTCTGAACACGAAAATCTTTTGGGATTCGATGCCCCGAAAAATGATGTACTGCGCAATACGAACGTAGATCAGGGAAGTGATTAGAGTAAAGCGATTAATATGTAACCCTTAAATAGGGTACATAAATATAAATAAATACGCAGATAGATCAAAAATACAATAAATTTAATACCTTGTTTTAGTTAAATTAAAATTTTAAAATTTCTTATATCGAATAATTAAACGAAATACAAGAAAACCACAGCAACGCGTGGCTCCAACTGCTAGTTTATGCATGTATATGAGTACGTATGTAAAAACACACCTATATTTAGCGTGAAAAGCGAAATAAAATTCATTCAGATACCTAAATATTCTTTCTATTTTTTTATATTTAGATGCCCGAATTCAAAGTAAATGAAACGTATGTTCGCATTTATTTCACAAACAGGTGAGCACAAAAGGCCAGCAAATAGGGAATTTTTCGGTTAAACTATTTTTAGAAATTGAAAAAATTTAAATAGCGTAATGGAAATAAACTTAGAATATTTGTGCTGTTTCGTTGTTTGCTTCTAATAATTTAATACATAAAAATAATTAAACTTAAAAACAATATTTTTTAAGTAATTGATTGAGTTAATCACTTTTTGCTTAATCAAAACTGGAGCAATTTCATTTTTTAAAATTATAAATCCAAGCGAAAAAGGAGTTATTTGAGCGTTCTATTCGTACATATTTAGGTAAGAATACATTCCTTCGAGCAGGGTTTGATAGCGATTTTCCTAGCTAGACAAACGAATGATCCACCCGCCGCCGACTTGTGGTAAACTGTAGCCATAACGGCTGATTTCTATGCTCTATTCGCGCATTTTTATAATGTGTATATTATTTTTAGATTATATTGCTTTTTGGAAAACATTTTAAGTTTATCTTAAATCCATTTTTAGAATAACATATGAATATATGTAGAAATATATAACTAATGCTCTATAAGGACTGAAGCGATTTTAGGCCGATATTTTATTTTAGTTTTAAGCTCCTCTCCAATACACTACTTTTTATTTCATACATACATATGTATGTACATAAAAATTTGATTACTTTCTGTTATAAAATAACTTTCTTACTTTTGAAATTCGTTTTCGCATAGAATATTTTCATACAAAATTAAGCACATGTTAAGATTATTTGTTTGTATTTATCAAAAAGTTTTGTTTATACATATATTTGTTTATCAATATATTTTCACATTATTCGTTCTTCGCTTAAGTTCGTGACACGGCCATTAAAATTACTACATTGTTTTTAACAAAAATAATAGAATCGTTGGAGAAAACAAATCGTTTACTAATTTTGAGTTACCGTCTCGCCACAACCACACGACTTTGTCATTTTTCGAGCTAACAGCACGAATATATATACAAAACCGTTATTTCGCGTCCATTTCATTCAACTTTCGTTTCGCTACTACTCACAAAATACAATTCAAAAACATATAGCAAAATTTTACAGAATAGTTTATATGCCAAAATGCAAAGAAAGATTTTTATGAATACAATAATAAGCAGGTTTGGAAGAAAAAGAAGAACAAAGCGCAAAAAAGATTGGAACGCAAATTGATGATTTTTCAATTTTAAATTTTTTTTTGCTAAGTTGCTGGGCTTTTGGTTATAAGTGTTTTCAAAATATAGAATTTTCGTTTTTGTTTTCAAAAGTAGGGATGCTAAGGTAACTGTGGGGGCAGGGAATCCATCGGACGCACTTTGTGTGCGACAACTGTTGTTTTTGCTTGCTTGTTTTCTCGTCCGTATGACGCATAGTGGGAAGCGTAGGACAGCTATAAAAAAATCAAAAGACAAATATTAAACCTTCATTGTTAAGTGTCTATAAATGAATGAAG